GTTGCCTACCTAGGTTATAGCTACCTTTAGAATAGCTACAAGATTTGTGTGCAGCGGGACTGAAAGCACCCATTTGTTATTCATCAGCAAACAGTTATACAACTAGTGCCAAGTGCTGGAGATTGAAAAGCAAGCATGGTGGGCATCCTAAACACCTTCACAAACTTACAGCCATATGATATTGTGCCTATGCCTTGTTTCATCCAGGTTGATCACATTAGCCTGAATCTGTCTGAGAAATACACATAAAGGAAAATCATTTAAGGACAACAGCATTCATGTTTCTTATACTTAAAATGTCCATGAGCATTCTCACATTTTAACTCAGTAGAGCAAGTATAGAATTGGAAACACTGTGTAGATCTTTTTGTCTGCAGGTTTCCAAATGTGTACTCAGTGGAGCCCACTGTGAGATACAAAGATGCAGGGAGGAAAAAACAACCAGAGCAGTCACATTTTATGGTTTACCTCAAAGTGTAGTGCAAACCCAAACATGGAAGACATACCACACAATGTTACGTTTTTTTTGATGTTGTTGTTGGTTTGTTTGTTTTGTTTTTGTCATTTTCCTTTTTTATCTGTACCGGGGATTGAACACGACTGCCTGCTTGCAAGGCAGGTGCTTATGCCGCTGAGCTAAATCCCCAGCACAATATTACGTTTTTTAAAGAACACTAGATTCAAAGAAGCTCACATGGCACCATAAAATTGAACAACAGCCCTAACCCACAAACCATAATGGTTAATGCTACACGTTTCCTTTCCAAGTCCACAGTGACCCCTCAAAGTCAGACACCTCTTACCATACAGGCCACACTTGTGCTATGAGACAAACCATTGACATGGTGTCCACGTTTTTAGGCCAGTCTTGGCTGAAGCATAGCCAGCAGTCATTCCCTGTCAGTTCTGATGCCAACTGGAGTGTTGTTTAGTTACACTTGTACACAAGGACCCCTCATCCAAAATGCTCACACACCACCAATACAAAACTCATTTTCACATTGGGACAATATCTTGTTCTAGGTACCTGCCACCTAGCTTCTGGCTGTTCATGAAGAACCTCGTAGTAGAATATCCTAATGACCCTAGTCATCTTCATAATGAGGGCAAATCCACTGACTTCAGAAATTCTACTTGAGTGGCAAAATGACTCCTGAGACAAAGATCTTCCAGGCTATGCTTGAAAAGGAAAAAATGAAGGCATACAAACAAGCAAAATCATATAAAAATGATACACATGAGCATACACAAATATAAATGTATATGTATGTTATGCATATGTAATCATACCCAAAAACACATTTAATATGCATACAGGTGTGGCAATATATATGAAAAAGTACAGATACACAGTTAGAGAGAACTATTGCATATAGAAATTTAGAGATAGACAGTTTCAAAAAGCTATCTTGACAAATATTACCGATTCTAACTGAATTTACATTTAAAAATATTTTAAAAGCCTTTAATATAGCCTATAGTGTCTCTGACAAATGAGACCATAAATTCCAGAAATAGACAACTGAGCCATGTAACTGAAACAAAGCCCAGAACTCCAAACTTCAGACTCTTGTAACTGACAGATAAACTCAGAGCTGCATTGAGATCTTATTATTGATCTTTCCCCAAAACCCACTGTAACCTGCCACCATACTAAGATATTGTCCTGCCTCTATTGCAAGAATTCCCTGGAAAGAAAGTAACTAAGCTTACAAGAGTGAGCATTCAAAAGACAACTCTAATTATGAGATCACTTTCTTTTACTGACCTGAAATCTGTCCAGTGTTGTTTTCACGACTTCTAAGAGAGATAGAAAGTTTTCAGTATAGCAAGCATACATTTTCTGTGTGTGTGTGTGTGTGTGTGTGTGTGTGTTGTGTGTGTGTGTGTGTGTGTGTGTGTGTGTATCCAAACTTTCAGAAACCATGTGACTTTGGGTACATCACTTAATATCTCTGAGTGTTTCATTTTAGAATGTGTAAATATAAGTCCCACGCAGGATGTACAATTTGCAGTGTGATAAGCCAAATAAATCCCTCTATGCATGCCTTGTAATATGGTAAGGTATGGATTAATAATGTTGCCTTTTATTTTCTCTTTCAATGTATAGGTACCAGACATTCTGCTACCAAGTAATAGTCTCAAATAATTTCAGGGTAGCTATGGTGTGTCTTTACCCTACCTCTTCATTATTTTACAACTCAGCTAGCATCATTGCACTATAAAGATTCTTCTTTCTGACACACTCCACAGCACCCAAGCTGGAGATCCTCTCAAAACTAATTCCTCTCTATCTAACCCATTATAACACACAGGGACATATAAAACTCTGATCTCACGGATTCTGCGATGAGTGGAGCAGCAGTGAGATTTCTGGAGAGAAAGGACCAAAACCAAATAATGTGAGCTGATACCAATCCCACTAATTCCAGTCCCCATTATGTCCTCATGAGTTATTAAGTACCACTTATGATCAGTGCATAGGTAATTAAGAACTCATAACTGCAAAGCCAGAGTCCTAACATGTAAGGCCAGAGGGAGGTGGAGATCAGACACTTTGAGGCCTCAAGGAGAAAGCCAATGCTTTGGAGACTTTAGTGTGATCCAGAAATACATCTGAGTGTTCCAGGCTACAGTGTAAAGTCACATGTTGGAAGTTTGAGCATATGATTCAGCATATAGAATTTAAGGGGAATAAGGTGGCAATTGGTTTCTCAGTAAGTCATCCTAGCACTGTGCCACCAATACAATTGTCATATTACATTTCTTTCATGGATAAGACAAAATACTCAACATAAACTGCAAGGGGAACAGGTTTATTTAACTCACCATTTGCACAGGTTTCAGTCCATAACTGGCTGACTCGAAGGCTGGGTGAAATGACAGACAGGCATTGCAGAGGGAAAATAGTTCGTGGCAGGCAGGAGACAGCAAACCCAAGCCAGGGACAACCATGGCTCTTTCTAGCTCTTATATTTTACGTAGGTTACTCACGACAGGAGTCACTCACATCCACAATCCTAAAGCCCTTGATCTTAGCATTGCACCATGAATCAATCCCAGTGTCACACGTTCTAGATCCAGCCACCTCTGAAAAAGCCACATTTATGTCTGCGTGAGGCTTTGGGGAAACATTTAGACACATACCATGACAACAAAGTTCTCAGAGACCCAGTAGTTTTCTGCAACACCTTATTTCACATAGGGTGTATGAGCGTGGGGGGATAAAATTCAAGCTTTGAAAGATAATAATCTCCAGCCAAGATTGATATATCCTGCACAACTATCCCTGGAAATTGATGGAAAAACAAGGTGCTTCCAGGATAAAGAGGAACTAGGGGAATATGCAACCACCAATTCAACTCTACAGAGAATACTACAAGATATTCTAAAAAAGAAAAATACGAAGAATCCAGAAGCAGCAGCAGAGAGGCCACAATGAATGGAGCAGAAAACACAATGAAGAAGAAAAACTGACCACTAATGACAGAAAAAGAGCTCAACAGAAATGAGGCAGAGAAGATTGGATGATAGGAACAGCTATTTTGGAGAAAATGACATCTTAAGAGGTAATACTGATTTTGTATCATCTTGTTTTGAAGTCTCATCAAGCTTTTGTTCTTCTGTCTCCATTGGTCTAAACAGGTGGTATCTTATTGGATTTTATTATATATGATAGTATAAGCAAAACCTTTTATAGACAAGGAGATTATACAGAAACATTGTTTATTATCTGTTAGTTGATTCTAAATACCCTGTAATACTGTCATTCTCTTGAATGGTTTTACATTGTTTTGATATATTTGATGCTACAGTATACAAAGTTATGCTCAAAGATTTCAAGGAAAGAGACAATATGGTAACTACTTTTATGTCGGGATAATCTTGTGGTGAAACACTATTTTCCTTAAATGGTTATGTTTTGATTTGTGCTGATTTGCTGTTATACCCTCTTATATCTCAATCTCCATTTTATTATTTACTTTTTTTATCCTTTTAATTAAGGGAAAAATAAATTTTAAAATAGCAAGATATATTATAGTAACCCACTTTGGTTTTCCATTATCTTGATTTAAAGCCCTGTATTGCTCTCACCATGTTATTCTGACTGATGTTCCTCTATTCTGCTTTGCTTCATAGTACCAGGTTCGAAAGTTTAGGCAACAGCTGTGAAGATAGTGGGATTCATTATGATGCCCATTCTGGTTGACTATTATCTACTTTTGAAGACCTATAATGTCTCCAATGTTTTGGTTTTGTTGGTTTTGTTCTTTACTGTTTTGTTCAATTTTATTATACCTAATGATATAGGCAATTCTATTAGAGATAGCGGGAGGCATTATGGTAACCATTGTTGATCACCTAGTATTATGCTTTTACATTATCTATTACGTCCACCCTTTTGATTTGACTGAATGTTCTGTTATGTCACATTTGGTTCTACTCTCTTCCAAAAAATAATAAGAACTGTGGGAGCAACAAAACCCAAAATGTGCAATTGTCATTGTACAAAAGAGAGGAAAAGAAAGTGCTCTAAATGATAAAACTGCATGTATATTTAAGTGTATAAGATAGATAATGATATTACTGAGTTTTGTTGGATCACTGAACAGAACTGTTTGCAGTCTCACTGTTGGAATGTCCACTTTATAAGCTTTAATTTTGTAACTTGAACAATTGTTTCTGAGATGACAAAATGTAATCCATTAACTAGTGATTTCCTACTGTTTATTTTTTTCTGTAAATCTGTAAAACTTGTACCCTTTATCTGCTTTTTTTTTCTTTTTCTCATTAAATAAAATTAAAGAAAGAAAGTAAGAAAGAAAATTGAGAAGCTAAAGTATAAACTTTGGCCTGTGTCAACAAAATGCAATGGAAAACAAAATAGCCTTTACAATATGAGGAAAGTTTCACATTTACGATACACTCAGTGCCCTGTTTTCAGCAAAAAATTATGGAGAATAAAAAGAAATACTAAGGTATTACCCACTCACAAAAAAAATGAAATTTACATAAAACATTTTTGAACATCCTAGAGATTGGCTAGACTAACCAAAGATTTTAAATCCACCATATTTAAAATGCTCAAAACACTGAAGTGAACTGACAAACAACTAAATGAAACCAGACATGATGTACAACAAAGTAAAGAATATTCATAAAAACAAAAAGTTTTACTTCTGGCGCTTACTTATAATAGTTGAAATGAAAAATTCACTAACAAAGTTCAACCACAGATTTGAGCAAACAGAAGAAAAGAACTAGTGAAATTTTCAGAAAAATGCAATAACCCCACCTGAGAAATGAAAGGAAGAAAGAAAAATGAACAAAGCCTAAGGGTCCTATAGAACATTATCAAGAATATACAGAAGGGAAGTTTGAGATACAGAAGAAAGAACCAAAAACATTTCCAATAAACTATGGCCCCACACTTCCCAAGTCTGATGAACTATAAGAATATACAATCCCAATAAACTCAAAGTTTTTAGGCAGGTTAAATTCAAAACTCAGAAGAATACTTACTACAAGAAACTGTTAAAACACAAAAAGAAAATCTTTCAAACAGCAAAGAGAAGTGACTCATCCCAGAAAATGATTCTCAGTTAACCTCACATCAGAAACCTTAAAGGCCAACAGCAGTGGGATGATGTCCTTACAATATAGAAAGACAAACCTGTTGGGCAATGGATATAGCTCAGTGGCACAATGCCTGCAGGCAAGCCAAGGCTGTAAATTCAATTCTTGGTACCAAGAAAAAAGAAAAAGAAAACTGTCAATCAAGGATTCTTCATCTAGAAAATCTGTCCTTCAACACCAATGATAAGCCAGTGGTGGTGGTAGATGCCTGCAATCCCAGGACTCTAGAAGGCTGCGGCAGGAGAAACCTAAGATCTTTGCATCTGCTGTATGTTTTCTGTTTGTTTCTTACATTGTTCATCCAGGGATTCTATGTTTTTGTTTAGTTCCTCCAATTTTTTAGCTGTGTCTTCTTTAGCTATCAGCATTTCTTCCATTCCTTTTATTATTTCTTCTTTTACCTGGGAGACTATTTCTAGTTTGAATTCCTTTAAAGCTTCCTGGAGTCACTTCCTTATTTCAGTTGCTATTATTTCAGATATTTCAGATGTGTGGCATATATTTTCTTCTATGTACATAGCTCCTAAGATTTCTTGGGACGGGCTGGCCGTTTCAGATTGCATTTTGGTCTTTTCTTTGTTATTTTCCTATATTTCCATGCTTCAAGTGTTGTTCCAAGGCTTCCCCTGGATGTGTTGGAAATCGTCTCCCATGCCCTAGATTCCTGGGACTGAATGAAAGTTGCTGAGCCTGGTCCAGTTAGGCCTTCAGGCCCTGCCGTTCCACCTCCTGTGTTTCCAGTAGCTGGGCAGCACTGTGGATGATAGGGAGAAGCTCTCCCCGGGTCAAGACCAGTGTCCTGGAACTCACTTCACCTGCTCTCAAATCCTGTATTTAAAGGTCACTGGGCATAATATAGTTGGTCTACAAAACCTCCCATAGGTAGTCTAGTGTGCCTGGGCTCTGAGCAGGTCCTTGAGCTCTGGATGAAATGATCTTAATGTCTCCCTAGGGTTAGGGATGGCGTGGATTCACTCCAGATGCCAGCTGAGCTTCCCGGTTTGGAGAAGGTCACTGGTCGTGTCCTGGGCAGGCCTCAATTTACTGAAATCTTGTAACAATGTAAAAAATAAAGAGAAAGACAGGATGTAGCTCAGTTCAAAGACCCTGGGTTCAACCTCTAGTACCACCAGAAACAATCAAACAAAAGGACAAATACAGCTATGCCAATGTTTTTATATGTGCCATCCTATAAGAAATGCCAAGGCAGTATGGAGAGAACTAATTAGTGAAAAACACATGACATAAAAAACAAGTAGCACAATGTCGGAAATAAGCCCTTCATTATCAGCAATCATTTTAAATGTAAATAGTTTAAACTTGACAAAGATTTAAAGAATGATTTCAGAAATATGATCCAACCATGCAGTAGTCAAAATACACAAGTGCATAGAGAAAAAAGATTAGCAGTACAGTGTGCGGGAGGCTTATAAAAGAGGAAATGGGGAGAAATTATTTAATATTTGCATGATTTTCTAAGGTGCTATAAAAATTTGGAAATTTTAATGCACATTTTGAATAGTATGCTTTAAAATAATTAAACATGCAATACATTATCTTCACCCCAAGTTTTTTAAAATGAGTCATAAATGTGTTTAACATCATCCCTTATTAAATTTAACAATGCAAATATTACATGAAAAATGTGTTAGATCATACATCCAGACATTAAAGCTAAGTATCAATGAGTGAAGAAAATCAGGTAATTTTAATTGTTTACCCTTTCCTTATGTTGCTTTTTTAAAAATTTACAACTTTAGAAATTAATTGCATATTAAAATTTATAATAAAACTTTGAAACAAGTACTATGATAATAATGACTAATTCCATTTCTTTAGATGTGGTTAAAATGCTTAAATTGATAGGATTAACTAAGAATGAGTAGAATATGAAGTAAATGGAACTGTATATACAGCACTGTCCTAAGAGTAAATACACTCACTTCATGAGATAAATTTTCTGTGCATAAGACTATGGAAATCAGTACAGTGATTCCTCAGAATGCTAAAATTCAAATTCCATTCAACCCAGTGGTTTCCCTTCTAAGTTTCTTCCGGAAAAAGTTACAACCATGTTATTACAGTGATACACTCATATTCGTGTTCAGAGTAGCACAATTCATAACAGATATGACTTAGATGCAAACTGTATGTCTCTCCATCACTACATGCATTTTTTAAAAGGTGTCATTTGTACACAATGGAGTACTACTGTTCTATAAAGAAGGACAAACATGAGTCATTTGTAGAAAATGGTTTTACTTAGAGACCACAATGTTAAGTAAAATAAACTATCAACACAACCTTAAATATCACATGGTTTCTCATTTATAAGAAGCCTAAGTATAAATAAACAAATAAATAAATAAATAAATAAATAAGAAAAAAATAAAAGAGAAATAATAACAAACAGAGTGATAGGTTTTTTTTCAAATAAAAGAGTACTAAGAGATGTAAGAAGGCGAAAGAGAGAAGACAAAAAGAGGGCAAGAAGAAATAAGATGCATTACACATCAAGTCTCCACAACAAATGTCTCATTAGACAACACAAGTGTTATAACAAATTTTTCAATTGTCTGGGGGAGATAGACAAATGAATGCTATTTTTCCTTCCTGCTCTCTGAATTTGATTAATGAATAGATAACATATTTACAGTTAGAAACAAAATTTTGCTTTTAAATTATTTACTACTGGGAAAGTTAAGTTAAAAACAAGCTCAGTTTTGATGAATGTTAATGGTCTTCTATTGAAAAGGAAGACACACCAGAATTTTTTCTTCTCAAATGTAATACTCCTCATAGAAAAACATGTAAAACATACACACATGGCCAGGAAGCTTAAATCACCAGATCAAATTATTTAGACATACATTTGGTCCTTGAGCAACATGGTTGCAGTCCAGGTCAGGCTGGCTCCAAGACAGGAACACTATGGCAGGATTTCATGGAGCAAGACAACTCTCAATTCCTATAGAATGGAAGAAGAGAAAAGGAAAAGAGCCCTAAAAACAAGGGATCAATACCCAGATACATACCCCAAAACACCTCCATATGTAGTTCAGGTTGTTCTACTGGGATCCACAACAGCACAATCAAAGTAATGGGAGTAATCTATGTCAAGGCATAGATTGAACTCCAAAGGCCCACAGCAATTTGCTAACTTAGACCAAAAATGCCATGTGCAGACATTTTGTTTAAAATTATTGAGAAGAGAGGTGGACTCCATCACATTAAATGTTTCTGTTAATGTAAAAGAGAAGTGTTTAGGATTCCCTTGGAAGGAGGCTAAGGTGATGTTAGAGTCACCAGGTAGCTTTAGTGGATGCTGCCCATGCTTTGTTATTGCTAAGTACGTCGCTCCACTATGGCCTTCCTGAGATTGGGTTACTGGGGTTCTGTCTCTCACCAGATTGTCAGCTCACTCTCCAGTATGCTTGCTCCTAGCACAAGAGATGGTGCTCTGATGCTCAGACGCTGCTGAAACTATCCCGATGGACTTAGAAACCTGGCATTGATAATTCTGTCACTGGGAACCCAGGTTTCTGAGAATGTACTGTCCAATACCACATCCTACAGTTCCACCTTACACCTTTGGGTTTCTGGTGAGGACTGGAACACATAATTTTCACTGACTCATCAACTGTGGTCACTGTACGATTCTCACACACTTAGAAGATGTCATGATAAGGGGAGGCAGTGGCAGTAGTATGTTTTTTTAGAAAGCCGCCCAGAGTAAAGCACCACAAAACCAGTGGGAAACATAAAGTGACTAAGCCAACTCCTCCCCCTTCCTCTGCTGGAGGTTAAAAGACAACATGGACAAAGTTTCAGAACCTCTGACCTGGGGATCTTTCTTGGGAAGATACAGCTGCTCCTGCTCCTGTTGGCTTTCTTTCTGTACCCCAGAGCAGAGGTAGGTGAGTGACCATCTCCACCCTTCAGAGGCCCAAGCCTATTCCACAGTGCTCATGGATATCCTGGCCCTATGCACACACCCGATCCTTCTCTCTGCCATCACTACTCTAAACATGAACTCCAATCCCACCAAACTGGAGAACCCTAGAGAGGACACTGCATAAGCTAACAAAAGCATTCGCAAGAAGACCCAGTGGATACGGCACCCTCAGGAAGCCCCATCTTGGACATCTGGAAAGGGGGTCATTCCTCAAAGTGTTTGCAATTGGTGAGAAGTAAAAAGGCGAAAATACCAAATGCTCCTGGACAAGTAGAATAGGCCAGTCATCCATATCAGAGGTGGGAGAAGGCTTTGCCTTCATCAACTGCCTAGCAGGAATGCTCAGAGTCAGTGACTCCAGAATGGATGGAATCCCTGTCCTCAGAACACTATTATTGCCTTTCTCAGTCCTAGTCTCTTTCTCCAGCTCTGCTTTCCTCCTCAAGACTTTAGTGGCTCCTTTGATTTCCTGTAGAAGCCACAGAGCTGTTGTGGCCCAGGGCATTATCTCTGTTTTCCAGAATCCCATCTGCACTGCCCCACCAGTGTCATCCAGACACTAACTGTAGCTCTTCCTTCATGCAGCCAGTAAACAGTTCTGATGCACCCACCACATTTCAGGCCCTAGGAAAGAGGATAAAACCACATCCATAGTACACCTGAAACCATTCCAGGAGGAACCATCACTATCCTTGACATCACAGAACTCACAAGGGTTTAGATACTCAAGGGAAGTATAAGTCAGTAGAGGAATGAAGAAAAGCCACACAGGGTTTATTTTCTCCAGATAGGTTCTCCAGATTTGATTCATCTCCAGTCAAATGGAGGAAAAAGATTTGTAGACCAAGATGTGATTTCCCTTGCTATCGAAAAGTAGTTGAGGCTCCTTTTTCTAGGTTCCTTCCCACTTCAGGCCATCCCAAGCCCCCAAATACCCAACAGTTCAGAGCCACCAGTAGATGCTTGTTCACTGACTCAGTGGCTAAACCCAGTCTTCTTGATTTTTCAAGAGAGACCATCATATCCTGACACAAAGCCAAACCCCACACCTGCCCCTACATGGCCTACTTTAAGATCAGGCCTAAAAATCTTGGAAACATGTGTGGTAACTTTCTGATACAAGAAGACTTTGTGCTGATAGCCACTCACTATTCAGGGAAGTGAGGAACAAAAAACAGCCCACAGTCTCTGGGAAACACTTCTCAGAGCCTTTCTTCCCAAGGAGCTTCCTGAGCTCATAGAGACACACATTCAGGAGGCTCACTGAGGGTGAGAAAAGGCCATCATGTCCCAAGGGGAAATAAGCAAGTTGGAACCAAAGAATTCCTGACATAAGGCAAATCAGGACAATCAAGCCTGATACGTTTAGACCCACGATCATAGCCATGCAAAGTAAAGCGGTTTCATGTGTTTTCCAAGAGGCAACTGACCCCTGAAACCTCTAGTGCCCAAGATCCAATATTTCAGCCTTAGTACTAAGAGGAAGGAGGCACAGTCATCCAGTCAGGTTGCCCTCTGTCATCTGCATCTGTACTCTTTACCAGCTGTAGCCAGCTCTTCACACCTCCTGGGCTGTGTCCTCTGTTTCTCCACATCCACCACTGCCTTCTCTGTACAGCCCAACAAAGGTCGCCCTCGGGGCCTACAACATCAAGGAACAGGACACCCAGCAGGTCATCCGTGTACTAAAAGCGCTTCGCCACGAGGCCTACTATAATCCTAAAATCTTCATCAATGACCTCATGCCCTGAAGGTAAGCCACACATCCTTGTGACTCTTGCTTTCCTCATGCAGTGTTGCAACTTCGACTGGGACCCTACCCCTGCCCTCTTTGCCATCATGTCCATCACACTGTCCATGCCCAGGAGCCATACACTGATCCAGACATTCTTACTTCTTTCCCACCAGCTGAAGAAAAAGGCCAACCTGACTAAGCTGTTCAGCCCTTCAGGCTGCCCAAGGCCAAGTCCCAGGTGAAGCTAGGTGCCCAGTGCCAAATGGTTGGATAGGAAGATTCACCCCATGGAAAAGATTTCCAAGCACACAGAAGGAGGTAGAGATGGTAGTGCAGAAGGATGAGAAGTGCGAGGCCCTCTTTCCAAAGTATTATAACCGTGCTACTGAGATTTGCATGGGAGACACAAAGATTAAAAATGCTTCCTTTATGGTAAGACTAGGTTACTCTCCACTCAGCTTTGGAGGAAGAAGTCTTTGGGACAGATCTAAGACCAGGAGACCCAAGCAGTAGGGATTCCTTCACCTAGCAGGCTGTGATGTTTCTCCTTGAAAAGAGAAAAGGGGAGCAGACTCAGCTTGGAGGTAACTAAAGCCTCTACCACCTTACCAAGGGGCCTCTGGTGATGGAAAGTCCACTGGAAGCTTCAGTTTGCAACACGCTGCCTGAGCTCATGTCACAGGCATGATAAAACTGTTTCCTAGGTGTACAGTAATTATAGCCAGTTGGCTCCTGAGCTGGCAGCCCTCTTAATCAATGAGTTCATCCTCTGTGCCTAGTGTCAGACCTGCTCATCAGTCTCCATGGCCTGAAATCAATGGTCCTCACAACTCTACAGGGGTGAGTTTCAGACCTGGAGATAAAGACAAGGGCTGGCCCCAAAAGTGACAATGTCCATAGTCAGAGCTCACCAGCTAACAGCTCCAGGGCCTGTACTTACCTCTGATCCCTCAGAAGCAGACTTACAATCAGTACTGCATGAGGAGGTTTGGGATATTGAAAGTAAGAAGGTAGGCAGTGCACTGGCTCACAGACTCTACTTACAGGGTGATTCTGGAGGCTCCATGGTGTGTAATAATGTGGCCCAGGGCATTATCTCCTATGAACCAAAGAATAGGATTACTCCACATATCAACAGCAAAGTCTCACAGTTTCTATGCTGGATAAAGAAAAACCAAGAAACAGAGCTGACTACAGGGAGCAAACTAAATCCCCTCTATGAACAACCATCTTTCCTGGAGCTGAATCTAGAATCACTCTAGAGCAGATGCCAGCAACTAAATAAATGTTTCATCTCAGTAAGAAGGCTGGTTTCTTGTTTGCTCACTTACTTTGGTTCATGAGGACCAACTCCATGCTAAGCAGGCCAGTGCCACAGTTCGGATGATTTCTACCTCCTCCCCTCCTTCTCCACTCAATATCTTTCCAAATCCCCTCTTCAAAACTGTTAACCAGCTCCTCCTTGTATACTTTAGTTTCTCCACAGCCTCTCTTTTTGCAAGGGCTAAAGTTAAGCACTGAGGAAAATGTGGACAGATCTCATTCTGGGGCCCAGAGGGACATGTGACCTCTTTATGTGTCACATGCAGAAGGAAAGGAAGATAATTTCACAGGTCCAGAAGATCAGTCAGGCACCATTGAGATCACCACTTGGCCCCATCAGGCTAGGTAGGGGAAGGGTATTCCTTAGCAGGACATTTCTCTCCCACAGGTTTGGGGATACACATGAAGTGCAGAGTAACCTGAGTGGCTCTTCACCCTCACCCGAAATTTGTTTCCTTCTCCATTTTCCTCTAAGATCAAGGCTAACCTTGGCTTATAGCCACCTGGTTGCCCATTTTTATCCCTTGAAAGTTGTCACAATCTACCAACTCGTGTCCTTACTAGACCACTGTGATCTGGTGTTATAACCTCCTGAAATCCCCCAGTCCAGGACATCAGATTCAGCCCCCTCCTCACAAGTTAATGACATCCTGGTTCTGCCCTGGGTTGTGGCCTTTATTCCTGTTAGCCACTGTTCCCACTGGACTAAGGACTCCCATAACTACAGATACTCGTTTAACTCTTTATTCATGCCATGAATTGCACTGGACTTGTCGATTGAAATTTACTTACTAGAATTCCAATAATTTTTCCTGGGATTACAAACATAAGCTCTTCATGACTTTGACTACACTGGAACAATTTCTTTATAAGTGCTTACAAAGAGCTGGGCCGGGGGCTAGGGATTTAGCTCAGCGGCACATGTACCTGCCTGGTAAGCACAAGGTCCTCATTTCAATCCCAGGAACCAAGAAAAAAAGTGCTGAGCATTTGAGTCTCTGGTGAACATAATCAGAGAGCCCAGTGAAAGTGACAGTGTCACAGGCTTTACCAATTAACTCCCTCTCCATCCTCCAGATTGCCCTACGAGGCCTATGTGGAAAATCTCTGAAATAAAATATCTTATTTATATTTCTGTTTACAATTTCTACCAATAGTATCACAAGATACTTCAGAACTGCATGAGATTTAGAAATTACCTTAGTCACACACTTTTCAGATGTGAAGCTGCTAAACGATTCAAAAGAGAAGATTTTCACATAGGGAGCTGGCAGCCAGTAGGTGAGAAGATAATGAGGCAGCCTTATTTTCATTTGTTTGAAAACTAGCAGATATAAATGTCTTCATACAAAATTAAATTGTAGGAACCATAGATATCCAGTCAGCCTTCTGAGAACCATAATCCCTGTCAATACTACAGTGGCTGCCTCTGCAGAATCAAACTTGAGTCAGGGAGGTGCCACAAAAGAAAAATGG